GCCACCTCCTTTACAGGAGCTACAGCTGGGGCAGCGAATGGGGAATTTGTACGGTTAACATTGTGTGTAAGTGTAGCATTTGTGGAAACAAAAGACACTCAGATTTGGAGACAGATCAACCTCATTCTTATTAGAAAACGTAGTGATCTGTGCATTATACAGGGAGGAGGCGGGATTCGCCCTCTCGTCCCGGGAGGAGGGAGTTCCGGCACGCCGGTTCCACGGGGTGGTTCGAAGAGGTGGAGGGCGCTGCGGGCACGAGATCTCCGTGCCGGCACCTCTCCCTTCGTCTCAGCGTCGCGCCGCGCTCCCTGGTCTGCAGAAAAGCCTGTGGAGGAGCTCGCGCTGCGGTGACTCTTATCTCTACTGAGGTCTTTGAACGCACCACGGCCTGCCCTCAGGGGAGGGGGGCCGCGCGCGCCGTCACAATGCCGTCTCTTTGAAACGGACATTATGGGAAAAAGTGGTATTGTGGAGAGAGATTACTCTTATTCTGGGATAAATGCACTCGTTCTCGCTGAATGCATTTTTCCCGCACACACACATCACTCTAGAACTAGAGTTTACAAACGTAAACCACCGTTCCCCTGCGGAGGTCCCTGAACGCACTGCGGCCACTCTCACGAAGGCCGTGCGCCCACGTATTAACGCTGTATTTCCCATTCCGGTGAAATGTATTAATCGGCGCTATTATACCAGGCAAGGTGTGAACCGGGGGGAACCGGGCCTAGGGTAAGGCTTGTAGACCAAGCTACTTATTCGGCCTTGCGGCCCAATAATCACTCTGACCTGGTGAGGCGGGGGCATCTCTAGCAATGAGCGAGTAGCCCACACACCCCCCGCCATGATCATCATCCAGGGAGAGTACAGCACTGGGTGGTGGACTTCCATGGACGCCGGACTCGTAAGGAATGGCGAATGTGAAATGGCACCGCCTCGGCCATATCCTGGTCCCCCAAACACTCAAAGCAGAGGTGGTGGGGATCGTCGGCCGCTATTTAAGCCAGGGCACGATTTCAAAAAATACTTGTTTTCTTTCTTTCTCTTTCTTACTTTCTCTCAAAAAATACGTCTCGGACTCAGTGCTAGGCTATCACCTCCGCTCGCTGATGGATGATGGTCAGGCGGGGCCTCCTTTTATACGGAAATGAGATGCGCACGCATTCAGATAGGCCCGCACCGGGGCCGGCTACGTCTAAGTAGGTGAATGCTTGCATGATAAGGTAGTACCCATAGAGTCCAGTAGAGGGCGGAGCCTGTGAGAGATATAACAGTATGGAGCTCAAACCTTTCTCTCTCGCAGGGTTTACCACAAGGATATTACGTTACACATATTCTCTCCAGTAGCCTACAGCGTTAGCTCCATGGTTAGCTCTGAGTGTTAGCATGCTTGCTAATGTAAACACAGAGCATATTACTCCCAAAACATGCCGTGCATTGTTTCTGATACAGCACATAGCTTGACATGTTCTTTGTGTTTACCGCTAGAACAGTGCCATTATATGTATTATATATACAGGGCTTCTCAAACTCCGGACCGAGGTCCGGATCCAGAGCGAACCCTGTGTCACATTATAAAAAATAATAATAATAGTAATACAAAATTATTTCTGATTCTGATGTAAATTAAAGTGGACCTATTATGCTATATTGGAAACATATATTGTAGGGCCATAACTATACAAAACATGTCTGTGAAGTTTTTTGCTTAAAATACCAAACAGATCACCCATTGTAGCCATGCCTCATACTGCTCATACCCCTCTTTTGCAGCCCTGTTAGAGAAACGCGGATTTTGGGTCCTTAGCTTGAAAAAAAAAAAAAATGAGGAGGCGGAGCTAATGCCTGATCAGAATTATACCGGAGATAAAGTTAAATTCTGCTGTGATAAAACGCCATCCTGTTCTAAACCACATCAAAGATTATTTCCGAAACAGTATGGAGCTCAAATGCTTTTTCTCCTTATCACAAGGTGAGTTCCTTTTTTTATTTCCTGCTTTTTAACCACGTGCTCTCCAGTACAGGTTAGCTCTGAGTGTTAGCGAGGCTTGCTAATGTAAACAAAACACGTCAGGCATTGTTTCTGATAGCAATTTTCTGTGGGGTCGCTGCCAATTTGACGTCAGATCGGCAGCAAATCTGTATCCACTCGTTGTACCCCTGTTTTTAAAAGATTTGGGTACGGAGGAAAAGAGAGAGGGTTTTATTTTCTGACGCTGCGTGAGTTCCCCGTCGCACCGGGGACACATATTTATGTATACAAGACATCACAAAGTGCATTTTGCATGATAGGTCCCCTTTAATGTATATTTTCTTGTGTCTGACGCATTGTGAGAATGAACGTGCATATATATTTACTTGTGTGCGCGAGTGTCACACGTATTGCAGACCGCAGTTAACCGCAAGTTTACCTTGACTTTCTAATGCTTCTAATGCCATTTTTGCCGAGGTTCAAGGCATTGGCTACAGACAAACAGTGCCATTTATCCCACTAGTTCAAGCCATCATACTGTATGTATGTATTGAATGTGTGTGTGTATACAGGGGCGCCGTTTACCAACAGGCAAGTGCTTGGACCAAAAGGGGGCCCCCAAATAAAGTAGATTAATCCAATCCACTTTACTGGCATTGATCCGGACCTTGTATAAAATTCACAAGTGGACCTTTAACAAAAAAGTTTGAGTACCCCTGATATATAACAACTTTACTCTAAACCTCCAGCAGACATCCTGCTGAATAGACACACATCCATCCATCGCTACATCTGGGACCCAGGAGATGGTGGCATAGGAGGAGACGACATACCACGCCGGCAATGGACAACACTAAACCGTCTACGAACTAGGGTCGGTCGCTTCAAAACATCAATGAAGAAGTGGGGCCTGGCAGACAGTGCTGCATGCAAGTGTGGTGACCCTGAACAGACTGCCGAACATATAATAACCACCTGCCCTTTATATAGACCACCCTCGGAAGCCAGCCTCTTCGACGTAGGACCAGAGATGCGGGCATGGCTACACGCCACCGAGTTGGACCTCTGACGTTACACGAAAGAAGAAGAAGAAGACACACAGCTGCGAGAGGGGATTCAGCTAGACGACTGTATACGGAGACGATAGGTTGGGACGTGTCACGTGTGCCGGAAACGATAGGTTGGGACGTGTCACGTGTGCCGGAAACGATAGGTTGGGACGTGTCACGTGTGCTGGAGACGATAGGTTGGGACGTGTCACGTGTGCCGGATGTCGCCAATGACGTAATAGGAGCCACAATTCTGGATCTGTTTGTTTAGAGATGTGGGTACTGTTAGAAATTAAAATCAATGTAATGATATAATATAGTTTAAACATACAGTAATTTTATAACTGTTTTATTATGAAAATACTTCCGGTTAGCTTTCTACTGTGGTTAAAGTTTATTTTGAAAAGCTATTCCGGAAGAGATACCCGAAGTACCACCAGTAAGCTTGACTTCTGGTTTTATGTTAAACAAACGATTACAGCCGTTAAAATGGATTAAATAAAAAGTCATGAAAGAGAGTATGAGGAGAAAAGGCATGTGGGGTTTTACAATGAAGACAAACGTCTAAATCCTCTGTTATGTGCGATATCGGACATTGGTGAAAGGAGGGCAGAAGATTACGTCACAGCCCCCAGAGAGGAGGAGCGAAGGGGGATGCAAGCGGGAAGGACGAATGTGTGTGAGGTCTCTTTTTCACGGCCCGGACTGCGAGAGGAAGCTGCAGCTTTTCTCTCCCCAACTACCTTCTGTTTGTTTTATTACCACGCCACTTAATTAAAGTACCCATTTGAACCTTCTCAGAGACTCCATTGGTCTTCTTATTTTAAGTTTCTCTCCTGGACGCGAGGACAAGGAACATCCGAATAGTACGGAGGAAAAGAGAGAGGGGTTTTGTTTTCTGACATGTTGTGAGTTCCCTGACACACCGGGGACACATATTTATGTATGAAAGACATCAAAAAGTGCATTTTGCATAATAGGTCCCCTTTAAGTTGAACCTATTTAAACGTCCCATTATTGCTTCCAACTAACCTAATACAGTTATGTGAAATCATTTGACATAATACATTTAATTAAAGTCAATGTCTTTTTTCAGTGCACAGCAGTGTGAAGCATGTTTTTGTCATCGGATTAAAAACACATTAATTGAAACTCCATCGCTACACATCCAGGAGTGTATTATGTATGACAGTGATTCAAAAGGTTTGACCTCAGCAGGCTGAATGCTTATAAGACTGTGAGTTTTTTCATCAAAGGTACTGGGTGGGAGCAGCAGTGTAATTGAGAAAGAAAATGACAGATTGTTGTCATTCTTAATGGCTGTGATGTTCATTATAATTGACAGAATGCATAATTCATATGCATGTGCTCATTACAGTTATATTCCAAACAAATACCCTTGATTCAGGAGAATTCCAACAAAGGGCCACATGCTTTCTGAAACGTTGACTTGCCTAAACAACTTTCAGATGTAAATCACCAATCTTTTATTATATTTTATGGAATAAAATCAACTGATTATAGACTGCACTGTGCAGAACTGCATGCCTTTAACATCATATGTAAGCAACTTCAGTGCAAAGGCTCAGGGCCGCCCCTCCCTACAGGCCAATCACGCAGGCTGCATGGGGCCCCGCCTTGCCGAGGGGGCCCCGCCCAGAGGGCCTCAGCTCTCCGCGTTTTCCGCGCAGTTCATTTTTCATATTTTTTAAAATTGACAAACATCATATGCGTAATTCATGGCACAATTCAAACGGGATCGAAAGATAATCTTTCTCTCTCCATTGACTTCAATACATTATTTTTCCGAAATAAGGTCCCATGGACCGGAAGTAGATGGGCGTGACTTCGCCAGTCTATAGGCTAAATTACTTTGTGACACTTTAGTGACTTCCTGTTAGCTAGAGCGCCAAATGATTTGCTAACAGCAAAGTGAAACATTTATCGTTTTTTAGTCCTTAAACGTCCATGTGTGGACACTCAATCAAAACCACCTGAAAGCGAGAGGGATTCTGCACATAATAGGCCTCGTGAGTACAAGTAGCTTACTTCTGGGTCTCTGTGTTTCATTCAAGCTCTGCGTGTGTGTGTGTGTGTGTGTGTGTGTGTGTGTGTGTGTGTGTGTGTGTGTGTGTGTGTGGTGTGTGTGTGTGTGTGTGTGTGTGTGTGTGTGTGTGTGTGTGTGTGTGTGTGTGTGTGTGGTGTGTGTGTGTGTGTGTGTGTGTGTGTGTGTGTGTGGTGTGTGTGTTGTGTGTGTGTGTGTGTGTGTGTGTGTGTGTGTGTGTGTGTGTTGTGTGTGTTGTGTGTGTGTTTGTGTGTGTGTGTGTGTGTGTGTGTGTGTGTGTGTGTGTGTGTGTGTGTGTGTGTGTGTGTGTGTTGTGTGTGGCACGAGCCATTTTGTGTGTGTGTGCGCGAGCGAGCGAGAGAGAGAGCTCGCGCACCGGTGGGTATCTACCGGAGATCGTTGTGGTTAGCATCTGGTGCTAGCTAGCCAAGCTAAGGAGGGAGAACTCTCTCCTGTCAGACTGAGAGTCTCAGATAACCTCAGTTCAGGTGAAGTAAAGGACTCTGTGTTTAGATAGTTAACTTTAGTCTAGTTATCTCAGTGGATCTCAAACGGTTTGTTTTAAAAGGGGAATGATTTGTAAAATATCTATAAAGAAATAGAAAATCTGTTTACAGTCCTGTTTCATATGGGTGTTGAGAGATGTATCCATAGATCTCTTCATTTTGCTCTGAAAGTGCACCAGATTGATGCTTTTAACTTCAATATTTAAAAAAAAAAAATCTTTGCGGGGGAGCATGTCCCCGAACCCCACTAGAGGAGGTGAGGTCCACTCCCCACTTGTAAAAATAGCACTTTACCCCTGCTTACACCTATATGCGGCAGGAGTGTAGCAGTAGAAAATTCAACTGTAGTAGCTCTGGTGCATTAATGGGAAACCCTTAATGTTTGAGCACCCTCTATGAAACGTCAAGCTACCCCACAGCACCCCCTAGAGAAAATCTCTGGCGCCGCCACTGGATTGAATAGAAATTGAATAAGGGTGTATACAAGAACATAGGGATACAGACTATGCAAGGTTAGGTGAGTGGTATAGTTACTATGGTAATGCCATCCACACGGGATAGCTGTTGAGATACAGCATGTCAGTCTGGAGACATGGTGGAGACCAGGCAGCCTGTCCCATACTTCGTCATTCTCAAAATACAAGCGAAAGCTCATTTAGTATTAACGGCTTTGAAATGAATGAACCTCACTGAACAAGAGTTCCTTAAAATCAGCCTTAAAAGACTTTGGGCCAACTGGACATCCTGACCTATTTAAAGATACCTTCTCAAGTGGCTGTGGCAGCTCTAGATTTATTTTTTAACCATAAGATATAATGTTTTCACTTAAACCTATTATGGCACTGAAGTGTCAAATCAAACAGAAATAAATAATGTGTTTCTATCAGTCCATATTCAGTGAGTTTGAGCACAGAGACAGTCAGTGATGGTCTGTGAGCCGCTGCTCCTCTTCTGAAGTCTCCTAATCGTCTTCACATCACTGCCTGAGTAAAGTGAGCTCTACTTTGTCAGTGTCGTCTGATGTGCAGTGTTTCTCATCTGCATTTACTTCAGTTTTTCTTACCTATTTCCAGCCTCCCCTCGTCATCAAATGGCTTTCCTTCCTGTGAGGATTTTGCTTCTGAGGTTGGTTGAGGTGGTTGACTCTGTTCTGGGTTTTTTGTTGTAGAAGTGCTGCTTTGTGTTTAACAGGCCAAGGTAAATGTTGAAAGCAATGTTCAATCCTTCAATCAGCTGCCATATCCAAACCTCTTGACAGATATAACTCAATGTACAGAACAATAACAGCGCTGTCTTTCGAGGTTGGAATTTAATTCGAGGTTTAGGGCGCCACTCACAGCAATCATCCGGTTAGTTGACAGCGATAATATGAATATGATTTAGTGATTTTTTTCTAATTGACAGGTTTAAAGCATAACCATATAAGGCAAGACTTTGAGGTCTGTTGAGCAGACTTGACATTAAAGGCACATTCCACCTTTAACAACCCCCCCCCTGATGTTACACAGACACATAATGACCAGTCTGCTACATAACAGCGCTGCTACCAGTTTCCTGTCATCACCTCATTGATCCACAGCACTCTAGCTGAGCATCAACTTTACTTTTCACCTCCACTCCTGAATTGATCTGAAGCAATCCCCTTCATTTGCAGGCATTTATGTATACACATCAACACATGCAGATAGCACTGATGATAGCTTAGCAATGGCTGTATTAAAGTGCAATCCAACCTTTTTTAAACTCAGGGCCTAATGTATGGTGGTTGTAATTACAGGGTTTGCATTGACAGGGGAAATGAACACTAAGCTCTCAGACAGCAATAGAAGTATATGGAGCTATGCTAGCACTCCCACAGTGAACAGATTGATTACTGCTTGTAACTATTAAAGCTTATATTAATAAGCAGTCAGACTGAGTAAAGCTGTCCTTTAGAACATGCTCTGTCAGTAAGGGGGGGGGGGGTCCATCATGCTGACCCAGGAGTCAGAGACCGGGGAGGGGGACTTATCCTGACAGAAACAAATGATCCCAGCTAACATGAGTGACTGCAGAGACACACACTATCTCCACTTTAATGTTTATGATGATGGCACTCACATTGCATTTGCCACACAAGCCAGAGACTTGGAACCAATTAAACAAGTGTAACAACAGACCCTAACACTTTACAAAGAAAAGAGATTTGGTCACCATTCATAAACTCAGTTATTGAGTACAAATTGTGGTAATTTGCTCTAATACATGTCTCTTTCCTGTGGTTAAAGGGATCTTGAAGCAGTAAAGCGCCATTAGTTTTAGAAAAAGAGCAGGCTAGTAAAGCGTTTGTCAAATATCACTGCAGTCCTTCTAAAACACCTTGTTATGAAGATACAATGTCCCCTTTTACTCTCTGTCAAATGAACACATGGAGATGGAAAATGATGTGGCAAATATTGGTATAAATGTAGCGATCCTAATCTTTATTACAAATTGAAAAAAAAATAGACTTATTACATATGTTGTCCTGGAGCATGGATTCTTTATTTTAGTTTTGCTGGATAAAATAAAACAACACTTTTGAATGTCTTTCTCTTTATGCTAGTTCCTTGAAAGACTGTCTTTATACACACAATTCTTGCAAATACACCAGAATCATGTCCTTGAGTGCTGTAATGACCAGAATGCTCAATGTAAATTAAGTCCCCAAACGCCCACGTTTATTTTACAGATTGCATTATTCCATCACAAGCTCAAAGAAGAGCATATTCATTTGAAAAACAAACAAAAAAAGATGCAACTAAATGCAACTTGTCGTCCTCAAATATTTGTAAAATATTTGCTATAATGCAAAATGGATCCCAAATAATCCATGTCTCTCCTTCCACTCCCACCTATCGCTTCATATTAATTAACTCAGCAAACAAGAATTGACTAGACAAACACAGAAAGGCTTCTTAAATGGAAAATAACAGGGACTTGCACACATGCATACTTTTTTTCTTTTCAATGGAAGCAAAGTGAGTGCTGGATAAAAGAGCAAACCAGATCAGTCTCCATTAGAAACACCTTTTAATGCCAGAAGTGGAACCTCAAGAGACTATCTATGAGATGACGTTTGTCTTTAAAGTGTGCTATATAAATCAAATGTATTATTATTATTATCTTTACATCCTTTGAAAGGAGCCAAACTTAATGAATGCATGTGTCTGTGTTTAAAGTTCAAACACAGCATCTGAGTTCCTTCTGACCTCCCACTGGATCCTGCTATATTCTGATAAATCACAGAGCTTCCCAATGAGATGCTAACCTTGGTTTTGTAGATCAGAAGGTAAGTGCTGATGTGCAGAGTTGTGCCGGTGTGCTCATTGCAAAGCCTGGGTCAAGGCTGGCTGTTTTCACTGAGTTAGCAGAACGGCTTCTAGCTGAATGGGGGAGATTCAAGGCCTCAGCGCTAAAGGCATACACGCTGCCATGACAATGCAGAATTATCTTGTGTCAAAAAGGTATGACCTGTCAACAGCAATGCCATTGTTGTAGATTTCTCAGCACCCAGCGATGGGACCAAGCACTGTTGAAAAACACTAATACTGTGAAGAGTTGTACTTAGGGCCTGATATTAAACCAAATGCTGCAAATGTTGTATTTTTCTGAAAGCTCCATGCACTGAAAAAACAGAAACGTTGACTTTAATTAAAAGTATTATTCAAACTATAGTATAATATTATATTATTAACTACTATTATTAACTGATCTAATACAGTTATGTAAAATCTGTTGACATAATACATTTAATTAAGATATATAACATGAACATGAATGTTTGGGCCTGATAATAAAACTGTACAAAATCCTTCATATTAGGTGTGGTTTTGAAATCTATTGTAGCTATACATCATAACCCCCCTCCCAAATCCCACCAGAAACAAGCTCTCACTTCATACCAGAGTCCAGCATGTTACAGGGGGCTTCTGGGGTCAGCAGGGCTGTCTTGCTGTATTGCCCGTTAATGATAAGCAGCTTTACATATCTTCTGCAGGGAAAAATGTTACCCTTGCTTTTTCCCGCTGATACTGGAATTCAGGGACGTGCACATACATTTTGGGGGGCAGGAGCTCAAGTGAGAAAAAGGGCACTTCCCATAATAATTTATAAAAAAAATGTAAAACAACATTTTAAAAATAGTTGCACATCTCTGACTTACAGACCAATTTATTTTAATACCCTCACACTCAGGCAATTGTTTAATACTCAGCAGAATTCTACACAATAATCAGTTAACACAGAGACAATGGTCTTCTCTAGTATTCACTAAGCACAAGAGTAGACAACAAACTAGTACAATTAATAGTTATTACACACATCACACAGGTGTTTGTGTTTGAGCTAACGAGGTGTTATCATAACAACTGCCCTGGAGTCCAGAAATCAAAGGTGTGTCCATGGTGATGTGCAGTAATCAGTCAGAGGGGAGCTTTTC